GTTAGAAAAAAGTTTTGTTTCAAATATTCGTGCACAACAATGGTATAATGGTGATAGTCCTCGAAATTTAAGTGGTTTTATTAATGATAAAACTAATCGATTGATTGGTTGGCCAATAATGAGACAATTACGTGTTAAATCGAATTTATGTTCTTATCAGAAACTACGTTCAATCTGTATAAATGATTATAGTTTATTAAATGAAGAAAAAAATTCATTTGGATTAGCATGGACAAATGAAACAACAACAGAAGAATCTAGTTCATCAATAATTGAATCATTTCAATATAAATCAAGTGAAGAATTAGATACATATGTTTATATTGGTGATCATGGAACTTATAGTGGAAATGGTTATGTTTATGAGTTTCGAGGTCGTTTAATTGATCTTCAAAGTAATTTATCTAAACTTCATCAATTAAGATGGATTGATAATCAAACACGAGCTGTGATTATTCAATTCAGTTTATATAATCCAAATGTTGAATTATTTATCGCAGTTACATTTATTATGGAGTTTTTATCAACAGGTGGAGTTTATCCATCAGCTCGGTTTGAACCAATGACTTTTTACAGTAATTTAATTATTTTCTTTTCGTAAAGATAATCGTTTATTTCTTTAATTTAGCATTTACATTACAATTTCAATTGATCTGTATGATATTCTATATGATCTTGATTATTTATTTCATGTGGATGGAAATTCAATCATTATTTTCGTTGAAATGGTCGTATTTTCAACAGTTTTGGTCTTATGTTGAAGTTGGTATAATTGTATGTTCATGGTCAAGTGTTGGAATTTATATTTGGCGATACAGAGAATACCAACGAATTAGTTCATTATTTGAACAAACAAATGGATATGTTTATATTAATTTACAATTTGCTACTTATATCAATGATATATTAACATTTTTCTATGGTTTTATTTGTTTTTTTGGAACAATTAAATTACTTCGTCCTTGTCGATTTAATCAACGTCTTATGTTATTTAGTGAAACACTTAAATATGCTGGAAAAGAATTGATTTCATTTTCTATGATGTTTTCAATTATATTTTTGTCATTTATTTGTTTATTTTATTTCTTATTTGCTTCGAAGATTTGGGATTGTTCAAGTTTATTACAAACAGCACAAATGTTATTTCAAATGACATTATTAAAATTTGATGCAGCGGAATTAACTGGAGCTGCAGCATTTTTGGGTCCATTTTCTTTTAGTTTATTTATTCTTTTGGTTATTTTTATCTGTTTATCAATGTTTTTATCGATTATTAATGATAGTTTTCGACGTGCTCGTGATGATATGAAGATTAAAAATAGTGAAGAAATATTTTCATTTATGTTCAATAGATTTCAACGATGGACAGGTAAGGGAATTTAATTTCATAATAAGAACTAATGTCATATTTTAGGCTGGAAAAAAGCAAGTGAAGAAGAAATTTATCAACAACGAGATGCTTTGAAGCGTTACGAATATTTTGATCCGAGTGAACGTTTTCCTGACAGAATTGATCAATTACTTGAAGCAATCGATCGAGTTTGTGGATTCTGTTTTTATTATGATTGTATTCATGTTTGCTTGTTTGTTTTAGATTTATATGAATCAAAAAGCTGAATTAACAAGAGTACAGGAAACTAACATTTAAATATAAAATAACGAAAAGGAGACATTCGAAATATATCATATGAATATTTATTGCTTGCTTTGTACGTGTCTCTTCGTTGCTTATCTTATTCAAGAAAAAAAAGAAGAAATAAAGATACATTGAATGTAGATAGAATTCCATTTTAATGTTGTAAAAGATGTTTTGATAACACCTTCTAAATTGTGTTTTACGAAATAATAATTAAGAGAGGGGGGGTCCGCCTCAGAACCATCCAATTTAGATAAGGTCGACCGCTATCTTGAGGGTGGGTGTGGTGGTGTGGGTGGGTGTGGGTGTAGATAATGGTAAAACACCCACACCCACACCCACACCCTACATATCGTAATGTCATCTGTGCGATATGGAAGGAAAGAAAGAAGTGAATTAAACTATTACATTTCATTTCTTTCGTTTTTTTCTCGTAGCAAGCTTTTTTAGGTAAAAGTTTTCAGTAAAACCGCTCAAAAACCCTGAAAAACCATCATAAAACCAATAAATTATAGTGCATTCGAAAGTACAGATCATGGGCTATCTAACTATGTGAAAATCTAAAAATCGATATTTTTGACAAAAATTGCTTTTTTTTGACCCGGGGGGGGGGGGCCCTTAACTAGTCAATTCGGAAATATTTCTTATATAATTGATTAGAAAGTTCTGTTCCCATGTAAAAAAAATACCCCAAAACATCGGATGAAAATCGATTTTTTGAAAAAAATCCATAAAATCTGATTAAATCCCGCAATTCTGATTAAATACACGATAAAAACAGATTACCACCGATTAATAATCTGATAATCCATTAAAATTGATTAAAGGCAACAAGAAAACTGATTTACACAGATTCCAATTATCCCAACTGATTTCCATCGACTTTTTAGCCGGTAAAAATCGATTGT